ATCTGAAGTGACCTTGCGATGCACTTGTGCTGTCTCTTTTTGTAGGTACCTGCTCTGTCTGGGGAAATCAGCTCTTCTCTGAGCTGATTTATTTAAGCTGCTCCCTGAGCTCCTGGCTGGAGCTCAGGTTTCAAGGCAGAAGTCTTGGTCTCAGCTGTACCCCAATGCAGGCAGCACCTCTACCACAGCCACTGGTGGGGTGCAGAGGCTGCAGGGTGGCTTCGCCCAGGCTTTGCATTCCAGATGTAGCAAACTCGCCACCTTTCACCTTTATAACCTCCTTTTCCACTTCTTCCTTAGGGATGACTGAAAGGTGAGAGCTCAGGATTACTTTTAAACGAGGAGCCTCCCCAGAGGTCTGGGTTATGCTGTGGCTCTGCCATCCACCCCATCAAAGGGCCTGCAGTGCCTTGGCTAGTCAGGTTGGCAGGTTGGGGCTGTCTCCTGAGAGCAGGACAAACAGTGGCTGGCTCCATGCAGCAGCAGGCTGGAGCAGCCTTAGTGCACAGCAGAGGAGAACAGAAGGGAAAAGAGCCAGGGACTGGGGGTGGGGAGGCTTCAACTGCAGTGGGGATCCGCCATGTGAAAAATAAACTGTCAAAATAAATAAACAGTGTATTTGAAAAGAGAAAACAGAGTTTAATTTGGAGATTTGAGAAGGGATTTGTGCAGCTGTACTTGTGGAAGCTGTTTGTGCCCCCGAGGCTGGAAGGCAGTGCCAGGACTGGAGAGCCCAGCCTGCTCCTGAGAGCTGTTGGTAGAAGGACCTTCTTCTTCTCCAGAGCATTTTCCTCCAGCCAGCCCCCATTGCTGGGATGTTTGAAAAATCTGTTGTCATCTGCTAATATTTATTTTATTAAATCTGGTGATGATCCAGTTCTCATGTGTGTTTACCAGGCCTGTGGCTCACACTGTGCCCTTCTCTGCTCTCAGATGCTATTGTGAGTCTGTTGCCAGCCATCACACATGAAAACAAGGCACGGGCAGATTGGAAACACACTCAAGGCTATTTAGAAGAAAGGAAATAAAATCAGTGTCCACGGCTGCATAGATTGAATTGCTCACACATTTTAACAGATGAGGGGCTTTAAAGTTTCCCTGCAGGCCTTGTTATGTGGGTGAGCATGGTAGGGTGGCTGCAGGCACAGGCTCAGCTCAACACTGGCTGGAGCCAGTGGCAGCCAAATGGCAGTGCAAGGGGACATGAGGATGCGCCCGAAGTCAGCAGTCGTGCCCTTTGCTGGGCATGGGTCTGGCCCCTCAGTGTGAGTCACAGACCTTCGGCCAGGCAGGAGGGAAAGCTACTTAGTTTTAATACTGCATTTGAGGATGTCATGCACAGGCAATGCCTTTTTAAAGGCAGCACTTCTTCCTGGCAACATTAGAGTGTCTCAGAATTGACAGTGGTTGAAATGACTGGAGAGGGTTCTGTGTCACCTGAGTTCACATGTGAGTGCTGGCTCAGTTCTGGGCTCAGTGTCCTCCTGAGCATGATAGACAGGTTTTGGACAGAGTGTGATGAAGGTGCAAACCCCTTACCCCTTTCCCCAGAGCGCAAGGTGTGGGACCAGCGTGCACTACTCCAGGGTTCCTGTGCCAGATGTGCCAGGGTGCATGGCAGCTGCCATCACTTTGTCCTGATCTGGCCTGGGGTGGGAAGTCGCAGGCAAGGGGACGGTTGTGCCCTGTACTGGCTGTTGCTGAGACGGAAACTTCCTTTGTGGGTCTGAAGTGGTTGGCTCCTCTCTTACCTGTGCTTGCTCTTGGCTTTCTGGATGTGTTGTGAAATGTGGCTGCTTGGTGAAATTTAACTAATGACAAACACATGCTTGCATTGCAAAATGATCATTTCTACTCCCCAGAAACATTTGCACATGGCAGGAGCTCAATAAACTCTCCATTTCCTTACAGAAGCCTTCTCAAACAACAGTAAAGCTCTTCCTACAGCTGTAGGAGAGATACCAAAGTTGTTTTTTCCCGCCGCGAAAGCCGCCGAGCTCCTTTGTGAGAGCCCTGACCTTGGCCTGTGCCGGGCCCGGCACTGCCGCCCGCTGTCACTGGCCCAGTTGTGTCTGTGCCGGCCGCTATCGCCCTGCCCGGGCGGGCTGGCATCGCCATGCATCGGACCACTGCAGAGTCCCCCACAGCACTCTCGGGGCTTGTTTTGGTTCCACGTCAGCACTCCTGCGGCTCTGGGGGGTGGGTGCAGCCAGCAGGGACCCATAGGGTACATATTTCCACCTGGAGGAAAGGTGGCAAGCCAGCTGCTGAGCCACCCTCCTGTCCCTCGAGTGCCCTACGCAGGGGCAAGGGGCTGGCACCCTGGGGCAGGTGGCACCTGAGGCTCTACCCAGAGTGCTGCCGGCCCCTGAAACCTCCCCAGGCACCTGTTTGGCTCATTGCAGTGTTATTTATTACTTGCACATTCTGAGAACGTCCTGGAAATGTCTCTTGGAAACTGGAAACTGGATCGTTAAGGCAACCATTAGCACAGCTCACTCTGAGTTGCCCACATTTTAAATTATGTTCTTCTTGCAATTGTCTCTCTAAATATAAAAAAGAAAAGGCAAATTGGCATAATTTTAAAATCGAGGGCGTCCCTGGGCAGGTCGTTCAGCTCTGGGCAGTGGCTGCCAGTGGGGAAGGTGTGGGAGGCAGCTGGGAATCGTGTCAGTGCTGCAGGGCCCGTGGCCGAGCCGCTCCCCGCCTGCCGGAACACCGTCTCCTGCCCCAATGGGACTGCCCACACCCCACGGGCAGGAGCCTTACCCACAGGAGCCTGTCTCATGGCCCAGAACCACCTTCCATGTCTGCCAGCACCCTCCAGGCTCCATCCCTCGGCAGCAATGGGGGTGAGGGTGACTGAGCACAGAGGGAGTGTGGGGAGCCCTGCCCAGCCCCAACCCTGGCACGGGCACGCGCGAGGGGCACGCTCCATACACACCTGCTGGAAGGTGTATCTGTACTTGCACAACTCTTCCTGTGCAGAAACAGCTCTTTAAAACCTGTTTCAGAAGCCACTCCATTTTGAACCTGCTTTCAGTTTTAGATAATTAATCCTCAAAAAGCCCAGGGTGTTCTGGGGGGTCCTGTGTCTGTCGTCAGGACAGCTGCTGTGAGAAGCTCTGCTGCTTGTGGCACACATGGTGCTGAGCATGGGGAAGAGAGCATGGAAGCCTTATGGAAACAGGGAAATATGCACTGTCAGATTTCCAACTGCACAGGGGGGGAAAGAGAGGGGTCTTTAGCAGAAAGGTCTGGTTCTGTGGGAATCTAAAACATGCTGGGGAAATAAGACATTTTTAGCCAAGCTTTTTTATGTGCTGCTGGTATTCCTTAGTAGGGTCTGCTCCCCAGCAGCCCCTCACACTGAGTGCCAGGGCTCTGTGGCACAGGGTGGTGGTGTGGGAGGATGCGGGGGTGCCCTGGGACAGGGTGGTGGGATCATGCCAGGAGGATGGGCGGTATGCCAGGGAAGCTGAGACAGGGAGACATTGCTTGCATCAGGACTAGACTGTGGCAGTCACAGTGCATCCAATTGTGTCTTCATTTAATCAGTAATTCAAGAAAAGTCTTGGAAATGGAGATGGTTGGGGAATGGTGGTTGAGCAGCATCTACGGACAAGTTTCTGATTGCTCCTGGCAAAGAGATGAGAAATCACTCAAAAGGTTTCTGCCTTAAGCACTGAGGGTGAAATTGCTGCTCCAGTTACTGACTGGGAGGGAAAGGAGGGAGCAGCACTGCAGGGGGACAGACAGGCAGCGAGGTCAGAGCAAGGTCACCCTGCAGACTGAGATCACCAGTGGCTGTCTCCTGTTGTGCTTTAATCCCAAGGTGTGAGGGGCTTGGAGATGAGCCATCCGGGGCTTGGAAAAGAGCTGTCCTTTGGCAAAGAGCCCTGCCCACTGTGACAGGCACACTGCACTGGTCCTCTGGAGATAGCCTGGTCTTGGGTTGGAGTTGAGCATCCCAGCTCATATAAAAACTATTTAAAACCTCTCTCTCCTCAGTTTAATTTATGTCTTTCAGGAAGCAGAACAGGAGGGGATGGATAATCTGGACTAATAAAGCAGCTCTTGTTATCAGAATTAGAATATCTAAGGAAAAAATCTGTTTTCAGTGGGTTTGGGGTTTACTGTGGGCCCAAGTGGGGCTTTTCTGGGTATAAAGGTTTTTTCCAAGAAGTCCCATCTTTGTTACATTCACTGTTGATGCAATCTGATTTCTCAGAACCCACCTGAAAGCAACAAACAACGCCAGAAACCAAAAGGGATCTAATTTTTACTCAAAAGTTGCAGTGACCTGCAGACTGTTAGAAGCTAATTGCCTCATCCAGCGGTTGGAGAAAAAGCAAGTTTTAGCAAATAACTCAGTGTGCTCCTGCTCCCCAGACTGCCTGGGCATGCTGGCTCCTATTTGGATAAAGTCCTCCTGCTGCCATGTCCTCTGGAAAAGCAGCTTCTCCATGGATTTGATCAAAGAGATCAGATCAGGGTGGGGAGGGGGTCAGCAGGAGGGTGCCAGCCGAGAGGGGAGGATGTGGGCATGTGGGGAAAAGCATGAGGGCTGTTTGGGGAGGGGGGTGGGCTCTCAGGACGTCTCAGCTGGGTGGTTCATGTGGCATTAGGCAGTTGGCAGCACTGCAATCTGCCTTGTTTGGTGTACGAGCTTCCTTACTGAAGCCAGAATTCCATGGGCACTGCAACAGCCCGTCTCAGTCGCCTTCTCTCTCTAGGCTGTGTTGTCACTTTGTCACACATTGTCACACACTGCACCCGGGGCAGTGTCAGGGAGGGCACCTGGCACGGTCTCTCCGTGGTCAGAGCCAAGTTTGGCTCAGTCCTTGCTCACCTGCTTGCTGCTCAGTGCTTGGCTTGTTCATCCCCTCAGTTTTGGGTTTGCCATGAGGGTTCTCCCAGGCCCCATTGCGATGCTCCCTGTAGCTTATCTTGACCACACTTGCTGACCCTTCCCTTGTTGTCTCTGTTTTATACTGCAGGTTGGAGACTGGCCGTGACCATGTCCTGCCCATTGACTATTACTTCCCACCTCAGAAGACCTGCCTGATCTGTGGAGATGAAGCGTCCGGGTGCCATTACGGAGCCCTCACGTGTGGGAGCTGCAAAGTCTTCTTCAAACGGGCGGCTGAAGGTAATGGGGCAGAGAGGAGGAAGGTCACTGCCACAGCGTGTGGTGGGGTTCTAAGACCTCTTAAACCAGGAAAGGACTAAAATCCGGGATAAATTGATTTCTTTGTCCTGCGTTTGTCATTCCACATTACAGATTGCCCTCAAAAGGTAGCCAAACCAGTTTGCCAAAACACTATTCTTTTCAGTGGCTTTGAGCAACTTGGTCTAGTGGAAGGTGTCGCTTCTCATGGCAGGGTTGTGGAACAAGATGGTCTTTAATGTCCCTTCCAACCCAAACCCTTCTGTGATTCCGTGATTATCTGAAATGACCTAGTGAGTCCCCAGAGCAGTCAGTTCCTGCTTCTCCTCTTGACTTTCTGGAGTTCTTTAAGCTCCCATCAGCCCACCTGTGATCTCAGACCCACAACTCCAAATTTGGGGAAGGCTTTTCTTCTCCTGCATCCCTTTCAGAGGGTCACTTTTGTCAATGCCTGCAAAACAGCACAACTGTCTGTCCTTGAGGAGCTGTGCTCTGACCTCAGGGTCCGTGATCCTTAACCCAGCCCCTGAGAGAGCAACTCCTCCTTCGTGTCCAGCTCTGTAGTTCCAGGCTCTCCAGCACTATGCATGAGCCCAAAGTTTCCTCTCAATGGCAAGGTCTTTGCACCATCTCTCCTCGGGAAAGAGCGTGCGGAAGGACCAAGCCCAGCTGTTTCCTGGGGCTGTGGCTCAGCAATGTCTGGTTTCTGCTTGCAGTTCAGAGTTGTGGTTCCTCGGCAGCAGTGAGAGTCTCTGTTGTGGAAGATTAACTGTCCAGCAATGTAATGTGCCTGTAATCACTCATTGGGCTTGCTTTCAGGAGTGATGAACCAGCACAAGCACCACTTCCTTGGTGCTAACACAATTTCCATGGTGTGTGCTCTTGGCAGCCAGTGTCACCAGCTGTGGTGTCCCTGGGAGAGGGAGGCCCCGTGGTCCTCGGCTGGCAGCAGTGATGGGGACAGAGCTTCTGTCTCACTGGCACCTCCCCGTGTGCCCACTCCCTCCCCTCTGAGCAGAGGTCCCACACTGGGGGTCCTCACCTGCTGTTGTCAGAGTGATGCTTCCAGATCAATTATCATTATCCTGCCTGGGTTTGGAGTGTGCCAGGAGCCAACTTGCCAGTGCTGGTTTAGGGAAGAATGGGAGCTGTGCCACAGGGGACATCAGTGTCCTGTTGCCAGAAAGGGCGGTCAAATAATAGTTAATAAATTTGGCATATTTCTCCCAAGTAAATCATTTGCAGATCTGTCTCTGCTGCACATCAGTCTGTGTCAGGCCAAGTGGGTTGGCTTATGCAGCCAGAGTAAATAACAGATGCTTGTTTAAGTCAGCAAGTTGTTGTTGATTTATAGTAAGTGGAGTCTTGGCTCTCAGTCAGACAAACTGTCGGTGGCTTGGTGCTGGAGCTGCAGTCCCCTGGCACCGGGTGGGCTCTGTCCTGTGGGTGACAGGGGATGGAGGTGCCCACAGGGCAGAGGGGCAGCCTGGGCTGCTCACACTGCTCCACAGGCATGTGCTGTGGGGTTGTTCCCTTTCCTGATTGTGTTATATCATTAATTTAAATGGTATTTATGCCTCTTCCTGGTTCTTCAACCTTGCAGTATGGCAGAGGGTTAAAAGTGTTTGGCCATGATGGAATCAGGCAACAGCTCTTTGGCCTGGAGCCACCTGTGTGCAGGGAGGGGCAGGGGCACCTGCTGGAGTGTAAGCTTTCATCTTATGTTACCCTGAGGTACATGGATAGTCTTTTTTGGGGGGCAGAGACAATAAATCAGGCTCAGTTATAGGTACTGAATGGAGGGCAGGGGCAGGTTTTTGTCCTAACTCCTGCCTGATGACTGTCCAGCCAGATCGTTCCTTCTCAAAGCTGAGGAGCAGTATTCAAAGCCGATATTTCAGTGCATTCTCATGGTTTAAAGTCCATAAAATGCATCTTGTGTCACCCTTGGAGGCTTTACAACAGCAGATCAGAACATTTCCCCATGAGAAAAGAAATCTGTTACTTTCCTGGGACCTGTTACCTTCCTGGTGCTGGTGTCAAACTGCAGCTGCTGATGGAGGGAGCAGCAGGGGGCTGGGAGTGGAGCAGCACAAACAGCACCTTGGGGGGGAGGGAAATAGCTGGCCACATTGTTTCTCTTTTATTATATTCTCCTAACATAATACTGAATTTACCTGGCAGGGATTCGGGCATATTTAATCACAGTTTGTCCAGAAGGATCCTGGGGGACACAGTATCAAAAGTTTTACTGAAATCCAAAAAGATCCCACCAGCTGGCTTCCCTTGATCAGCCAGGCGGGTCACCTTGTCATAGAAGGAAATCAGGTCTGATAAGCAGGACTTTGCTCTCATGAAGCTGTGGTGGCTGTGACCAATTACTGTGTTGTCTTTCAGGTGTTTTTCAACACCTCCTGGAATAATCTCCATAACTTTACCAGGCACTGAAGTGAGATTGACAGGCCTGGAGTTTCCAGGGTCCTCCTTCTTGCCCTCCTTGAAAACTGGGACACCTTTTACCAGCTTCCAGTCAGCTGGGACCTCCCTGGATTCCCAAGACCGCTCAAAAATCTTTGAGAGAGGTTTTGTGATGACATCAGCAGCTCTTTGAGGATTCTGTGATGAATCCCATCAGGCCCCAGAGATTTGTAGGCATCCAGCCGGAGCAGCAGATCCTTCACAATTTCAGGCTCGACTGGGAGTTGATCATTCTCGCAGTCCTGGTCCTGCAGCTCAGGGCACTGAGACCCCCTTGGTCCATCATCCATGTTGAAGACAAAGGCAAAGAAAGCATTAAACACGTCTGCCTTGTCTCTGTCCCTGTGTGAGAGGTGACCATCCTCATCCTGGAACGGTGATGATATTGCCTATTGCCATTAATATATTTGAAAAAATTCTTTTTATTGTCCCCCACATTTCTGGCAGCTTCAAATCCAGTTGAGCTTTGGCCACACAGATTTCCTCCCTATAGTGGCAAGCTCTGTATTCTGTATTCTATATTCTGACTCTGTATTCTTCCCATGTCACTTGACCTTGCTTCCCCTGTGCACACAACTTCCTTTTTTACCTTATCTCTGAGAGAAGATCCCCGTTCAGGCAAGCCAGCCTTCTGCCTCACCCGCTTGACTTCCAGCATTTGGGAATTGCTGCTCCTGTGCCCTGAGGTGGTGATGTTTAAAACGTGGCTGGCAGTGATGGACCCCAGCAACTGCAAAAACATTTTCCCAGGGAACCTTCCTTACTAATTCCCTGAGAAGCCTGAATTCTGCTCTCCTCATGTCCAGAGTGGAGGTTTTGCTGGAACTTTTCTTTCTGTCAACAGAGATTTTAAACTTGATCACTTCATGCTCACTGTGGCCAAGACGGCCCCAACTTCCACTTCTCTCAGGAGATCCTGTCTGTTGACAGGCAGCAGATCCAGGAGGGCATTTCTCTGAGTCAGCTCCCTTAGGAGCTGTTCCATAAAGTTGTCATCCAGGTTTTTTAGGAATCTTCTGGACTGGGTTGTACCACTGTGAGATGCTCCCAGTTAATTTATGGCAAGTTGAAGTCCCCCTTAGGACAAGAGCAGTTGATTTGGAAGTGTCCCTTAGTTCCTCAAAGATAGACTTGAGGGTTTTCACAAGCTCAGGTTCAACTGATTCATCCAAAAAGATGCTGGAAGAGGTAACAGAAAAGGCAGGGTTGTTCTGATCTCATTCTGCCAGCTCTCTTGATTCATGGACTCTCCCAAGATGTCCAGGCTGTGTCCAGGACAGCACTGAAGCACACCCTGCAGATTGCCTCTGCCCTTGTTTTGTGACCGAGCCCAGAGCTGGGCTCTTCCTTGCTGTCACCCACCTGGGGGTCCCGGCATAGAGGGTCTGGAGGGTCCAGAGGGCTGGGGCTGGCTGCCCAGCCAGCTGGGCTGCTGCTCCTCTGCTGCCCACAAAGAGGGCTCCTCCTCCTCCTTTGGTGAACAAAAAGCTCACCCACCTCAGCACAGATGCCGTTTTTCTTGACACAAGTAGGCAGGAGTAGACAAGGCACCTCTCGGCGTGGTTAGGCTGGCTGAGGTGGGTTGAAGACATCAGAGTTCAGCCCTTGTGATGCCACCCTTACCCCTGAAGCAGAAAAATGCTTCAAACACAACAGCTTCTGTTTCAATTAGCAGCCCAGGGCTTCCTGTCCCCGTCCTGTCCTTGTCCCTGCATCCACCCCTGGAGAGTGGCAGACCTTCCACACCCCTCTGAGGTTGCTGAGATCTGGTGGCTAACTGAGCCAGCCCAGAACTGCCTCTGCACAACATTCCTGGCAGTGCAGGACTGGGATGCCTTGGAGTGTGTTCCTGATGGGGCTGCCTTTAAATAGCAGAGAGCTGAATCAAAAAAATAACACAGTATTTGGCAATTTTCCTAGTGGGCACCCAGCCAGGCTGCTGTGCAGGCTGCTCTGATTGCCTCCATCAGTCTCCATATGGATTAGTGTTCTATGTCCTGACCTGCTGAGGATTAGCCTTGCACCAGAGAGATGTCACTGGGCCAATTCAGCAGTATCTTGCCAGATTTCAAGATGACATCAAGTTAAAGTGAATGTTTGCAAAGTCCCTTGCCACGTTTCGAAATGCTTTCTCCTCCTTCTTGGGCCGATCTGACATGCAAACAAGTCAGCTCTGCAGATTTGATGGTGCTGCAGCACCACGATACTCCTGCTTCAGTGGTGTGTTTCTCATGACTGTTTTGGTGTTATGTGCCTTAAAAATCCATGGGGAGAGCAGAAAGTGGGATGAACAGAGCTGGGGAAGCTCTGGATGCTTTCCCCATGCTCTCTGTAGCCATCTGGTAAATACAGGGGACTATTCAGAAAATGACTTTGCAAAGGGAGTTCATCAGCAGTGGCTTAGTGCTGCCTCCCGGGAGCCTCGTGGCTGAGCCCTCTTGGGTTGTTAATGGGGGCATCCTGTGGGAAGTGGTGCCAGCACCAAACCCATGGGCTCAGCTCTGGGCATGGCCCTGCTGGTGTCAGCCCAAGGACCAGAGGTTTTCCAGGGAGCACTGAAGCTTCAGTGGTAACACGAGGCCCTGGGGGATTCGCTTTCACAGAAAGCTTGGCCTTATCCCCCAGCTCTTAGAATTCTGTTTATGCCCTGAAATACGAGGATCTCCCTCTTCCAAAAAGCATTTACTGGGTTTTATATCTCTCTTCCAAAAGGCATTTACTGGGTTTTCACATTTACAGTCATAAATCTTGCTCCAGATGTTTGCACAGATTACTTTGCTGTCTAGAAGAAAAAGTTATTCTGGGCAAAACAGGTCGTGTGGCAACAGGCTGTTAGATAATTCCTGCAGGCTGTTAGTTAGATAATTCCTTTGGATTGAGCAACTCTCCTCCATAATATTTTTAGTCGAGGCTGGAAAGTGCCTCTTCCCCTTGGCTCTGGCTGTGCACTGCAGTCCCAGGGGATGGGCGGGAGGGGCTCGGAGGTGGCGCAAGAATCTTCCTGCCTGGGGTGAGGTGGCACAGGATGGGCCTGAGGTCGCAGCACGGGCTGTTCCCAGCGAGGGGGGCAGTGGCACAGCAGCGTGTTCCTGGTGGGGGGTGCCACAGACTGCAAGGGCATTGGAGGAACAGAGGCTCTCCTGCGGTGCCTGTGCTGGTCTGGGAGGGCAGAGGATGCTGGGCGCCTTTGTGACTTTGCTCCTCACCTGTGTACGTGTCAAACAGGACCTGGGCTGCAGGGGAGGAGTAGGGACTTGTCAGGGTGACATCTGCAGTGTCCTTAGCTGGGCTGTGGTCTCTGGGCAGACACCTTGCCAGTGCTGGGAGATGGGCCTTGCAAAGAGTGGAGAACACCAGAGAGTGGATGTAAGGTTTGGACCTGTATGTACAGGTTTACAAAACAAGACCCTCTGCATTGCAGTGACACAATGCAGTCGTTGTTTGCAGGGAAGAAAAGGAGGTGAAAAAGTCTTTTCGGAGTTAAACTTCAGAGAAGGAAAACCAGTGCATTTGTCTTCAAATAAAGAACAGCTGATTGCAAGTGTCTCCAGTTGTTCTGAAATGAAGAGAGTGAATTACCCTGAAATTAGAAACAGTTGTGTGAGAAGTTACTTCATACAGAAGGAACCCATCTATGTCCCAGCCACCCTTCCCAGTTCTCTGGGCTTTTACAGATGGTGGCTCCTTCCCTAGTGGTTAGGAGGGGAGTCTCTGCAACCCCAGGAATTAGGATGGGGTGGGCGAGGTGAGCAGCTCATCCTCACAGGGAGCAGCAGCAGCCCCACGACCTGCCATGGCTTTTTGTTTCCCTTTTTGTTACTGGTGAACAGCATAAAGCAAACAGGGCTCACTTGTGCAGGCTCAGGCAACAGGGAATGGGCTCCTGCCCCAAAGAGCCTCCATGAACCAGGAAGCTGCCCTGGCCACCCAGTAATGTCCCTGTACCATGACTGTGGGGAGAACTGTTGTCTGCAGCTCCCAGCCTGTGCTGCTCCCAGCCCATGCCAAGCACAGCCATCCTGCAGACTCCTCAGTTTGTCACCTGGGCACTGGGGCACCCGCCTGCTCCTGGCTGGTGGGAGAGGCTCCCTCTCCATGTCCCTTCCCAGCAGTGCCAGGGCTGGCAAATGCTGCTGAGGAGCTGATGGGAAACAGCACAGCTGCCTCACTGAGCAAAGCTTGGACCCCACTCCCAGATCTCATCCGTCCCCCTGCTCCCCTCCTGTGGGTGCCTGGGGGGACAGAGCAGGGTGGGGGAGAAGCCCATGTGTTGGGATGCAGCTCAAATCCCAGGCATGAGGAACGGGCTAGGGCTGGTGGGTGCTGCTTCTGGCACAGGGGAATTCAGGGTGAGCTGTGCCTGACCCTGGAGTGTCCCTGGGGCTCAGGCAGCAGTGGTGCCACCTGCTCAGGCCCTTCACAGGAGAGGCCTGACCTTTGGGAAGATTTTGAGCTATTATTGTTGCAAAAAATTCTGTAGTTTAGACTAGAGAGGTGAGACAGGGCTGGAACAGGAGCCGAGGGGAGAGTTGGGGGGCCATGTGGGTGCTCCTGGGGCAGCACTGGTCACTACAGCCATACAGCCTCGGCCAGGCACTGGGGTGGCCCCGTGGGCTGGGCTGGAGCTCAGCCTGTTTACTGGTGGTGGCTCGATGAGCTCTGGAGCATTCCAGCAACAGGCACTGTTGTCATAGGGCAGGAGTCAAATCTCATTCCAGCTCTCCATACCTCAGAAAGTAGGGTGCCCATTCCTGATTGATGTAAGCACCTGAAGAGGTTGAGGGGAGGGAATGTGGCCTAGTGCTCAGTGCCCCCGGCACAAAAATAACTCCAGGTAACCCAATTTCAGCTGAAGTTGTTTATTACTCACCCTCCTCAATGAACTGCTGAAAGGGAAGATGGTGCTTGTGCTCCTTTGCATTTAGGTGTCATTGAGGTTTTCCTGGGTGTCCTTCACATGGGAAATGAGCTGGGGAGGGGGTGAGAAGAGCTGCTCTGAGGACAGAGTTAAAGGGTTTAGGAATGTCAGGTAGTGCAGCTAATGCCTGGGGTGTGGGGGCGGGTGATGATCCGCTCTGAAGGGGATGGTTCCGAGAAGGTTGAACGAAGGGTGTTTGTGCAGCCCTTGGGTGCTGTGAAAGGACGGGCCGGTGCTGAGCCCCGTGGGGGCTTCGCTGTGCCCCTGCACAGGGGTCTGTGGTGGCAGAGGTGGCTGGTCCTGCCGGGTGGGAGCAGAGGGACCCGGGAGGGCGCCAGGAAAGCCACAGGCAGTGCCAGTGAGGGCAGCAGTGGTGGAGGTGTGCAAGGGAGGTGGGGATTATTAAATCTGTGCACCAAAGTTGGTGCATCTCTTGTCAAAGCTCATACATTAAGGGGTTGAATTCAGCCTCATCCTGTTAGCAGATTTCTGATGACTCCAAAGGGCTATTCCCATAGGAATGCAAAAAGCAAACCCTTGCAGGATGATAATAAAGGCCACGGGCTGGTTTCCCATGTGGATTGCCCATGGGTCTGTGAGCTGCACCTGTCTATTATGGGCTGAGCCTGGTTTAGTTTGAAATGATCTGAAGAACATCAGATAAGTCCTGATCCAGTAAATGTGTTTATACTTGACAAGGAAACAAGTGATGAGTCAGGAAGAACAGTTCATTTATGGCTTGTCTAGCAAATGGGGCAGTGAACAAAAAAGCTGGGGTCTGGATCTGCATGGGCTGCTCTCTGAGTGAGAAGAGGGTGAGTCTGAGGTGCAGGTTAGTCTGACAATAAGTAACTTCCAAATTTTCTGCAAGCCCCCAAAACCCATGGCTGTGCAAGGTCCCCCTTGCAGGGAGTCACTGGTTCCAGTTCCCTCCTGGCTGGCTGTGGGTGCAGCCCAGGGGATGGGATGGCATCAGACTCACCTGTAGAGCAGCAGCTCCCCAACCCCCGTGTCTGTAAACTGCAGCCAACAGACCCAACTGGTACTGCTGGGTGGCACAAAAAGTAATTCAGCCACAAAAGGGCTTGTACAGAGTTGTAGTTGTACAGTGAGTCTGGGAACTGTGTTTGGCCAACTGTAGTTGAGTGTCAGGGCAGGAGATCAAACTGTGGGGTTTGGTGTTCTGGGAGGAAACCACCAAAAGCCAGGCAATAGATAGATGGATGACATTTAAAAAATGAGAACCCAACTCTCCATATTTCAGTGCTTTTTAATTGCTCATTATTGTTTGCCTTTGCTGTGCTGCACTGTGCAGAGTGCCTGGGTTTTCAGTCTTCGAGGACTTTTCTCCTTGGAGATCTTGGTCTAAAAGCCTCTGCTGTGTGTGGGCGAAGGGCAGCAGTGCAGGGCAGGGGTGCTGGAGTGTGGTGGAACAGCAGTGACCCAGCTGCATTTTGGGGAGGCAGTGCTCATGCAACGTCTGGCCATGAACCACTCCTGCAGCACCAAAGGCAGAACTGTACTGTTTTCCCAAAAGATACCAACTTCCAACATAAGTTTTTTTCTAGAGAGTGCACTGGGAAACCAGCACTGATGTGGTCTCCTCCTCCTTCTCCTTCTCCCCTTCTCCTCCTCTTCCCACCCCTCTCCCTCTCTTCTCCTCATGCCACTGCCCCTGGTGATACCCGAGCCCATTTCTTCCCCCAGTACCCAGCACCCATGTTCCATTTCTCTGCTGTTTTAGGCAAACAGAAGTACCTGTGTGCCAGCCGGAACGACTGCACCATCGACAAGTTCCGACGGAAAAACTGCCCCTCCTGCCGCCTGCGGAAGTGCTACGAGGCCGGGATGACGCTCGGAGGTATGGTCAGGGTCCCCTCCCGGGTCCCTGCACATCACTTAGTGTGTCAGCAGTCAGTAAATGGCTGCAAAATGAGGCTGATGGAGCACGATGAGCTTCAGGAAGCATTTACAGGGTTCTAACACCAGAACTGTGAATTTCACTAATTTCTGTTTGCATTTCATAAAGCATTCTTTTCTCTGATTTCTAAAGTTGTTAATCTGAAAAAATGTAAACAGCCAAGGGAGTTGGTTCTCACTCCTGGAGCCTCAGAGCAGAGCACTCCCCTCTTTTGACGGGATTTTTCCCAGCAGAAAGGGGCAATTTCTTGGTGAAATTACAGCCCCGGTGCTTTCCTTCGCTGGATAGAAGCCGTGCCTGTGTCCCTGGTGAAGGTCCTTGTTGCAGTTTGTCTCTGTTCCCAAACCTGTAGCCCTACCAAAACCTGACAGAGTGGCCATATCCAAAATCTGAGGTTTTCTGTGCAAAATCTGGAAACTACAGTGGGTGGCTCCACATTAAGCTGATTTGATGAAACCCTTCCCTGGGCCCTGGCACAGGCTGCCCAGTGAAGCTGTGGCTGCCCCATCCCTGGAAGTGTCCAAGGCCAGGTTGGACAGGGCTTGGAGCAACCTGGTCTAGTGGAAGGTGTCCCTGCCCGTGGCAGGGGGTGGAATGAGATGAGCTTTAAGGTCCTTTCCACTCAAACCATCCTGTGATTCCGTGATGTAGAGTGAGGAAGAAAATACCCTGGAAAAGGGGACTGAAGGACCTGCCCCCTGCTGGGAAGCCCTGGATTGAGGGGGTTATGGGGGAGGAACTCCAGCACAGCTTGGGTGGGCAGTGGGGAGCCCAGGCTGCTCAGATGTGCCAGTGTTTTGGATTTAATCCTGACCCCATTGCTGGGATGGGCTGAGTCTCCGATGTGGCTGCTGGGCTGCCACAACGCTGTCTTGAAGGACTTGTTACTGAAGTGGTTCTGATTTGTGGCTCACCAACGAGCAGAGGGTTTAGTTTTGTTTCTTCCCAATGGTCCCGAAAGGTAATACAGTCCTAATCCCCAGTTTTTAGCTTATTTTTAAGTGCTTTTTCCTGGTGAAGTTTCCTTAAGTAGAAGAAGACATACATCAGTGTAACCTTCTTCTGCAGGACACACTGACAAAATTAATGCTAATATGAACACACCCCCCCTTCTTTTTCCTTCAGCTCTTTGGGTCACCCTGACCTGTTCTGCCTGGTCTGTTTTACATTTGGTTTGGATGTCGGTATAAAGGCAATTGTTACAAACAGGCAGGCTTGTGATTGCCCACAGTAGCGTCTCCCACGGTGGAGGCAGAGCATTTGAAATTGCTCCCAGGCTCCAAGCAGTTGTTTTTAACCGCTGGTTAATTACCGTCGCTGTTGGGGTACAGCCTGGCAGCCCTGCGGCTCTCGCGGCGGGGGAGGAGGAGGAGGAGGTGACACACCGAATGCCTTCTGCCGGCTCTGCTCTGGCACAGGATGACAACATCTTGAAGCACTTCATTATTGCTTGAGATCACTGTGACCTGCAAGCTGGAATCCATTAAACAGGATCTTCTCTCCTGAATGACAGTGTGGAGAGGGAAAAGACGAAAAAAACCCAAACCACCAAAATAAAAAAAATAAAAAAAACCCCAGTGATAATGCAATTTCTGTGTGCTTGGTCCTGCTGGTGAGCTGGCTGTGCCTACCAACCCACCACCCTGTGCCTGCTGCCAGGGCAGGTGCTGCAGGGATCCTGCCAGCCCCCGTGTGAGGTGCCGGGGGCTGTTCCCATGGGATGCCCCAAGCGCCTGTGCCTGCAGCCAGAGCTGGCAGCTGCCCGTGCTGTAGGACATCAGGGCACCTCCAGCCTGGCCCTTGTGCCCTGTGGGTCCTGGCTTGGGACAAAATCTCCCAAACACGTGAAATTCCATTAATTTTGTTGGTGGTAGGGCTGGAAATCTCCTGTGGTAACAGCTGAAAGCTTGTGAAAGCCCAGGCTTGAGGCACAGTTGTGTTTAGCCCTAATTCAGGTCCAGCTGCTGGGGGCAGAGCAGGGCTCCCATCTCATGCAGTGGGTGTTGATGTGAGCCATTCCAGCCAGGGGGAATCTGACACGAGTTTTGCAGAGCCGTTGCAGTAGTTAATTATGATCAGTGTTGTGTTGAATGTACCTTTTTTTCATCATCTGCCCTTCATTTCCAGCAATTGGATCTTTATTACAACCTTGTTTGCTCAGTTGAAAAACCGAGTTTTATTGAATTTCTCTCCCTGCAGTGGATATTTCTTGGCTGTGACTCAATAACCCTTTAGCCTTCTGCACAGCCACCTGGGTGACATTCCTTACCTCCTTGCTCCAAGGTGTGTTGTCAAATCTTCAGTGTTCTCATGGCTCCTGCAGTTTGCCAACATCTGTCAGCACTTGTCTGCAGACCTCGGTCTGTCTGTTCAGTGATCAGTCCTTTGTGTTCATCCCTATTTTCCATCCATGCATTGCTATACAGACTGGTTGAGGAAAAATGGTTAATTCTGGTTTGGGGATGAATGTAGACATTTACTAGCAGAGAGCTGTAAGCCACCCTGGTAAGAAACAAACCTGTCTGATGTTCAACACTTATACTTGCCTTTGAGATGTGTCTTTGGGGGGTTGCAATCATTCAGCAATACTGTCTGATTTTATATCCTTTGAGTTCTTTTCATTCACATGGGCCTGATTGACTCAGATCTCTTAAAGGTGTCTGCTGCACCAACAATGTTGTAATTATCAACTAAAATTATTGTGTCAGATAAGACTGATAGCTTGACAGGTTCAGGTTTTGACAAGCCACATGCTGAAGTTCATAAAAATTTCAAAGAACAGGATATAAGTCAAGTCCCGTTCAGCTCTTCTGTGTCCTGCCTGCAGCTGAGCTCAGCATGTGCTGCCAGGGGCAGGATGTCTCCATTATTGTCAGTGCAAAAGCAGCTTCTTCCAAGTCCCCAGAACTTGCTTGAGTCCTGTCATTCACAAAAAATTGGTTCTGGAGCCCAGAGTGCTCCTCCCCCAGGGCTTCAGAAGTGCCTGCCAGGAGGGCAGTTGTTCGAACTGTGCTCCCCGGGGGTTCTTGCACTGGTGAATATTTTATTGTGACACCATGTAATTGTGTCCTTTAAGCTTTTTTCCAAATCCATACTGTAGTTGCCTGGTGACCCCCAAGCCAGCTCCCATTGGTGCTTCAGGGGGCTTGGGGCGATGCTGTGCTGCAGCTGCACCTTGAGGCTCCTGGGTGCTGCTGTCCCCCGTCCCTGGTGGCAGCTGAGCAGGAACACCCCCTGTTACAGGGTTCCTCCCACCTTGGCTTGAAGAAATGCAGTGTAGAGTTCTGCCCAGCTTAGCTCATCCTAGGAAAAAAACATTACAGATGCCTTCGATTCCTATTTTTCTATTTCTGTTTTTGTTCCCAGTAGCTGCTGAGTGGGAGCTACCACCACAAAGAGGTTTGGCACAGGTGCTGAGTATAAACCAGTCTTTTCCTCTGAAACTTTTTTTCACCAGGTATTTCTGTATTTCAGTGAGCTGTGGGACAGCTGCTCCTGGAATGCCCAAACCCCAGTAGCGCAGTTATCACACCCTAGCACAGAGGGGTCTGGTTTGTGGCTGCAATCTCAGACCCAGCACGGTTGGTCCTTGCTCTCTTCTTACTTCACTCAGGATTTTTTAACACTAGATAATTAAATCTTAAGGAAAACCCCCACATTTAAACCAAACCATATGTGTATCTTATACATGTGGGTTTGGCTCCATTCACACCCAGGACCCAGGGCACTGGTTGTTTCTAAACCCCAAAGGGTTGTCCAGCCCTGGCACAGCTGCCCAGGGCAGCAGTGGCGTCCTGGGGGGATTTAACAGCCCTGTGGATGTGGCACTTGGGGACATGGGTTACTGGTGGCCTGGGCAGTGCTGTGACTTCAGGAGGGGTGGGAGAGGCGATGGCTGGAGGCCGTCACGCTGCCCTGTTTTCCTCTTGCACTCCTTTATTTTTGTTACCTGTGTCTCCTCCCTTTTTACAGAGCAGCCTATCTTCATTGCCCATACACCAGATCATCTAGAGTACAGTGCTTAGAGATCAATGTTTGCAGTTGATTTACAGGGCTGCACTTTGACTTGACATTTTTATGTCTCGCTGCTTATTTTTCTAATTACAGCTGAAAGGAAATTCAAGATAAGTATCATGTAATGAAGGAGCCAAACCCCCCCGAGGACAACTGGTTTAATGTCGTATTCCCTGCTTGAAGGAAGCCATGGGCTTTTGTTCTCTAATTCATGAGGGTTTGGAGTTGGTGAGGGGTGGCAGTAGCAGCCCACCTGTGCCAAGCACTGTCACACAGGTATCAGTGAGGGGAACACAAACTCTCCAAGGGCTCTGGCATTGCCTCTGGAGCACTGGTGTGCCTTGCAGGCAGACCAGCAGCTGTGGTTAAGGAACACTTTGTCATGGTGCCATGGGCACAGTCGCTGATGGGGCTCATGAAGCAGAGTGATGCCACCTCTGCCCAGGTCTGCTCCCCATGGTTTCAGGCCCTGGAATTGCCTGCTGGCTTCTGAAATGTCTTTTCCATAATATATGTGGGATATCTGGGAGAGCCTGGATGTGGGGGAGTAGGTATTGCAAAGAGAAGGCTTTTATCTCAGTTGCATCCCACTTTCACTTTGGCCTGGAATAGAACAATCCCACTTGGGTATCCAAGTGCAATCGCTTTTTTCCCTAGAACATGATCATGTGCTGAGTTTATCTTCTTGTGAGCAGTTGAGTCAGTCACCTCTTCTCACTTTTCCCTGGATGATCTCTGTGTTTATGTGGGAGTTGGAGACCAGTCATGGCTGAGAATGTAAATGATGCTGGTTCTTTTCCGTGTTACATTAACAAGGAAATGGATTTTGTCGTGCAGCATGTGGGCCCCTTGTCCCTAGGTGAGGGCTGCAATGCCGGGGCACTCCCTGGGCAACGTCCACTAAGGGAGGAGCGGCTGCTGGTCATCACTTTTCCTTTCCTCGTAACTATAAGTGGAGCCAAGAAGCCTCAACCTTTTTTTTTTTTCTTTTAATTTTTAAGTCTCACACTAAACCGTGTACTTCCCACAGCCCGCAAGCTGAAGAAACTGGGTAACCTGAAGACACAGGATGAGGTGGAGGCAGGCAGCTCATCCAGCCCCACGGAGGAGCAAGCTCCCAAGCTGGTGATGACACGCATCGATGGCTATGAGTGCCAGCCCATCTTCCTCAACGTCCTGGAGGCCATCGAGCCCGGCGTGGTGTGTGCTGGCCACGACAACAGCCAGCCAGACTCCTTCTCCAACCTGCTGACCAGCCTGAATGAGCTTGGGGAGCGGCAGCTGGTCTACGTGGTCAAATGGGCGAAGGCCCTGCCAGGTGAGGAGGAAAACAAACAAATCCCCTCCTTTTCCAGTTCCAAAGCCCCCATCTGCATTGGCAGGGTGCAAAGGGAGTGGTCTGCAGCCCGTGTGCCACCGTCACACAGCTCCTGGGGGAGTGCTCCGTGGGCACTGTGAGTGTCCCCTCCCCGGGCAGCAGCCACAGCACTGGGGGTTGTCTGGGGGGCTGGTGATGGGAGGGGGGGCTGGGGGTGATGGAGGATATTGGAACTTGTGCTTTGCCTTGCGACAGCCCCCGGCCCGGGCTACCAGGTGGGCACGGGGCACTCGCCCCCGAGGGGGCTGCTGCTGCTGCTCAGAGTCCCGCTGTCCTCCCCCTCTCCCAGCTCCAGGCCGTGTCCTCCAGCCCTGCAGAATTCCCCTCTAAACAAGTATTAGCCCTGTCCCATGACCCACCTGAAGTGGTGAAAAGGGTAAATTCCACCAGCTAATTAGTTGGAATATGGCAGAAGAGCAATGCAGGATCCCAAAGGGCTCTTTCCTGGCAGTCACTTGGGTTGCCTGTGTGATGGCCTGGTGGGATATATTTACGATTCCTTTGGAGTGGTGCTACAGGCTAGGAAGTTTCTAGATGCCAGTCAGCAGGTGCAGTAAATGGAGCATCCCACTGACAGATGGGTTCACTGAGCCAGGTCTGTGCAGGGTCACTGGGTGGTGACACACTGCCTATTTAATGTTGTAATCCTGCAGCCGAGTGAGTGGGATTGCAGAGGGCTGAGCTCACTCTGGGCACAGCAGGATCCAGTTCACCTCTGAGCATCTCTGAGACTGGGGTGTGGGGCTGGTTCCTAATGCCTTCCCCATCCCAGCCTCACTCTCCAGGGAACACTGCAGAAAAGAGGGACCCCACTCCTCATGTGCAGGGTGACACAGCCAAAGGAGGAGACCGAGACACAGTAAGTTTACCACTCTGTGTCAGACCCTGGTGATGAACTGTGGTCAGGTGTCTGATGTTCCCAGGAGTTTAGCAGCACCCTGGACTGGTGATGCCAGGGGGATGTTGGTCTGAATACCCTTAAATGCAGAATAGCCCATTCTGTTTCTGATATTCTTAAGTCACTTGGCTTGTAAAACCAGGGACAAATCGTGCTTTCTCTTTGGCTTATGTATGCCAGCCATCAAGATCAGACACAGAGACACCACCAAAGCCACCCTGGGGCTGAGGCCCTGCAGTAGTGCTGATGGAAAGGAAGAGTGCTTTGGAAAACATTTTCCATCTTAACCACCCCATTAAGAAAGGGTTTTACTCTCCTGAACTGCACCTGATGCTGACCCCTTGGTGTGTGGCTGTGCCAGCTGCTGCCCCACTGACCCCCGGGGCCAGCACCCACTGTGCCAGGGCAGCATCTGGGCAAGATTCATTCCCCTGCTGTTTGGCTTTGAGAGCTCCCCAAGCCACAGAGAGCCTTGCCTCAATGGATTGTAATTATACACAGGAGATGTTAAATTGCTTTAATATTTGATTCAAAAAATGTATGATTGTCTTTAAACTCAATTATATTTGTCTATTTACAAGTGTCTGGAAAAAAGCAGTGTTGGAGGTGGTGTAAATATGCCAGGGATTTAACTCTGAACTGCCATCTGGGCATAGGAAATTTGAATTTAGTTGCTATTTTTGTCTCTCTTGCAATGCAGCCGAGGTTTCCGTGCTCATTTCCACAGTCATTAGATCCATGCAGTGTGTATTGGACAGAAACCAGAGTGTCTGTGGCCATGGGGTGAGGCCTCAGGGTTACCTGCTGGCTCTGAGCATCACATTAAAATCCAGCTACTTAAATTTGGTGAAGTCCTAATGGGACTTTCTCCCCTCTTTGTGTCCAAAGTCCCCTTTCTCCCCTTCCAGGGGCAGGTCTGTGCTTGGCTGTCCCTGATTCCCAGTCAGAGTCAGAGCCCTGGGCTGCCGGCCCTGCAGCTGTGTCACCGCTGGCGTGTGCATGTCCCGGGACGTGCTGTGAACTGACCACCTTGTCCCAGAGGAGCACTGCAGGAGAGTGGAGTCTGCGTGGAAACAGTCCTGGGAACTGCAGGAACACAACATTAATTCGTAACATCCCTCCCTCATTGTTTGTTAGGATTTCGCAACCTGCATGTGGACGACCAGATGTCAATAATCCAGTACTCTTGGATGGGCCTCATGGTGTTTGCTATGGGGTGGAGATCCTTCACCAACGTCAATTCCAGAATGCTTTACTTTGCTCCAGACCTGGTCTTCAATGAGTAAGTGTGAAACAACACCAGCCTAAGGCAGGCTTTGGGTCAGACTAGGTGACAAACTGAGCATCTCGTGCTCCGACCTGCCCAGCCCAGTGTGGCGGGTCCCGTTCCCTACTCCAGCCACCCGTGGTGACTTCCAGCAGTGGGGAGGGCACTGTGATGCCTCTCCTGGTCCTTCACCCCGCTTCCCCAGCCTTGTCATGGGCTGACTCCCGCCAGGGCAGCCGGAGCTGCTGTGGGATGAAAAGCTGCTCCGTATGGACCTGTCTTTCTGCTAAAGGGTTTGAGTTCCAGTTTCCAGCTCTGTTGGGCAGCTGGAGAAACAGAAACAGAGATAATGTGTATAAGGTCCTGCTGGGCTCTTCCTGATGTACCATCAGCTTAGAGCTGGGGAGGGTTTGCTGGCACTGAGGTAGAAGAGCCTGAACCTAATAACTAAGCACACCACGAGGCAAACCCACACCTCCCTGGGAGTTCCAGCTTGGTCTTGGATCCCTCACGGATAGACATGTTTGGGGAATCATTGCAGTCACTCCTCAGATGAACCCTGCAAGTCCCCAGTTCCATCTATTTCCAAAGAGGGTTGGTTGCACACAGGCATTTTGGAGAATGTTCCTGTCCTGCCTGTGGCATTGCTGGGACAGAGCTTGGGCCCTTGGCAGCGGGGATGTGCCAGGCGAGGGGGTTGCTGGGTCAAGGAGTGTGTCCTCCCCCCTCACACAGCTGCACTTTGGTCTCGGTGCCATCCATGCCCATCTTGCCCTGCCAGGTACCGCATGCACAAATCCAGGATGTACAGCCAGTGTGTCAGGATGAGGCACCTCTCCCAGGAGTTCGGGTGGCTTCAGATCACGCCCCAGGAGTTCCTCTGTATGAAGGCTCTCCTTTTCTTCAGTGTTAGTAAGTACCCACACCCTTTCCTCCACAGAACTCCAGTACCTGCCACTGCATCACCCTTGAGGTGTCTGGTGCTTTCCCTGTGCCTGGACTCTCACCTCCCAGGGGGAGCTGGGGAGTTCCCTGCTTCAGCCTTCCTCCTGCCCTCCTGTTCCCCGCTCTCTGGGCTCCTCTCACTGTTTCCTTCCCATCCCACCCAGTTCCAGTGGATGGCCTGAAGAACCAGAAGCTCTTCGATGAGCTCCGCATGAATTACATTAAGGAACTTGACCGTATCATCGCCTGCAAGAGGAAGAACCCCACCTCCTGCTCCCGGCGGTTTTACCAGCTCACCAAGGTCCTGGACTCCGTGCACCCGGTGAGAGAGGACAGGGAAATGTCCATCTATACACATAAAAAACAATATAAGAAAGAAACTTTACAGTGAGAATGATCATTCCCTGGAACAACCTCCCCAGGGTCAGGGCAGCCCTATCATGGGGCGAGTTCAGATGCAGTTGGACAGGGTGCTGGATAGTCTCATCCAGGCTCCCTTTCCCAGGCAAGGTAGAACCTCTGCTCCATATCTTTCCAGTGAAAACGCTACACAGGGACTCATTTAACCCCCTCTCTTCCTTCCCCAGATTGCCAAGGACCTGCACCAGTTTACATTTGACCTGTTAATCAAGGCACACATGGTGAGCGTGGACTACCCGGAAATGATGGCTGAGATCATCTCTGTGCAGGTTCCCAAGATCCTGTCTGGAAAAGTCAAGCCTATCTACTTCCATGCACAGTGATCTTCCATAGGGACCCCCGAGCTGCCTCCCCCATTCCAGCCATCTCCTGCCTGTTATTTCTGCACTACTGTCCTGCAGTGCCTTGGGGAATCCCTCTGCAGTGGTGGCCGAGGGGACAGGCAGTGACAGACCTGCTGGGATTCCTGAGATTTCTGTTTTCCTGAGGTACCTCTGAACTGAACCCCCGGCCTCGGCCTCTGCCCAGCTCTGGCTGCTTGTGGTGATGGACAGGGACTGGCACAGAGCAGCAGGACCCCGCCTGCTCTCGTCTCTGTGTTTGTCACCGTGACTCCAGCGGCCCAGGGCCACAGAAGAGTGGGAGAAGTGCCAGTAGTTGGTGGGTTTGGGGTGTTTTCTATACGCAGAACATGACATGAAGCAGGTTGCAGCTCCGCGTTTGGCTGTGGGTGATGTTACCGGCCTCCTTTGGGATGTTTTGTTTGCATTATGGTGCTGGGAAGCAGATGAGTTCAAACATTGCAGCAGAGAAGCAGAGCAGAGCTGGGGGATGAGGTGAATTTGCGGCCGAGGAGTTCCCAGGCCCTGGGGCCGCTGTGGGATGTGTCTGGCCAGCCCGGCCCCGGGACCCGCCTGCGCCGCCGGGACACGGGCGACGGAGCAGATGGGCTGCAGCCAAAGGCTGCCGAGGAAGATGACCTTGGAAACCCCCCAATGGCAGCTGGCTCCTGTTTTCCACCTAGGATGTTTGTGCTACAGCCTGTCTGGGTCTCAGTCTGCCCCACAGGCCCCCCGGTGCTCGGCAGTCAACGTTCCCATCCTTGCCAGCTGCTGCTCCCTGACAAAGCCGAACCCACCTCCAGAAGTGCCTGATGCCCTCGGAGCTCCCACCTGCCTGGCCACCCTGGGCCCCTGCAGCCCCTGCCCAGCCCCATGCCCGCTCTGCTGCTGCCGCTCTCCGCAGACCCCGGATTCCAGCTGCGCTCTTTCCCTTCGTTTGTCCCAGCTCTTGTTTGCAATGCTGTGGAGCCAAGAGGGGGCCAGGATCTGTGGGGCCTGTGGAGCCACAGGACTCCTCCATGAATCCCATCTGTGGGGAAGTGGCTGTGGGAACTGGCCGGTGCCACCACGGTGCTTTGGGGGGCTGGAAAGGAAGAACCAACCCTCATGTACTCACTGTCCCACGTACATGGTGCCACACACACTGTCACACACACACGGTCACACACACTGTCACACACACACTGTCACACACACTGTCACACACACTGTCACACACACACTGTCACACACACTGTCCCACACACACTGTCACACACACTGTCACACACACACT